GGATTAGTCATCCAATCTAGATCACTTCTGTTGGGGTAGGCCTAAATCCCCATGTGCAGCTCTAATGATGGTTGCCTTTGACACAGTGGCCAGTTTCTCCTCCTGGACTCAGCCTTGTAGCTAGAACACTGTCTGGTGAGATCTAGATTGCTTCCGGTCCTGTGCTGTTAATGAGTAATATTTTGCCAATATATCTCTGAAATATATTTTGAGAAGTTAGAATGTAGTTCCAAGGAAAAATGCAGATATAATTTTGCTAGATATTGCTAATTTCCCTTCTGTAGAGGTTTTAACAATTTCTGTTTCAGTGCATGTCGAGAGTATAGCAGACTTTTGGATTTTGTTTTTGCTAATCTAATAGGTAAAAATTATATATCAGTGCAGTTTCATTATGCATAAGATCAAACATCTTCATCTACACATGCTGAATTGTCTTTATAATTCAACTTATTTTTTAGGAAGTATTTCTTGATTATTATTGTCTTGAAGCATTACTATGACTATGTTTCTCTAGAGTGGAACTACTCATTGAAGAAACTGAGTATTACCAGGAATGTATGATTAAAAGAAATACTCATTTCTTCTTCTCTCTCCCTCCCTCCTTTCTTCCTCCTCCTCTTCCTCTTCCTCCTCTTCCCCTTCTTCATCCTCCTTCTCCTCTTTCTTCTTTTGAGGCAGGCTCTTGCTATGTAGTCCAGGCTCACTTCGAATTCTTAGTCCTCCTATTTCTAACTCTAAAGTGCCAGGGGTATAGTTGTATCACCACATCTGACTAAAGACTTGTTTCTTAAAAGAAGTTACCATCTAATATTTTGTGGAAAGACTTGGCATAAATATCTTCATGGCTTAGTGAAATTAATGCTAATTGGGGATAAAGACAAACATTGAGTTTGGTAGGGAGAGCATATCAGGATCATTGCTTAGCATATGAGATAATTAATACTTGGATTATCTTTAGTGAAGAGATGGTGATTAATAGGCCCTCCCTGCTTGGCCGAGGAGTCCAGCTGGGAAAGGAAATATATGGTGTCTACAGATTAACCTGAGTTGTTGGTATTGTGGATAGTGAGCATGGGTCATCTGGAGTTGATGACACTTGCTCTTTTCCACTCTCAACCCTCTTCTGAATGAGATTAGCTTCAGCAATGCCTAGCTGAAAAATTAAGATATTTATGTTTTTATTTGCTTTTTTTCCCTGAGGCATTTGTCACCTCTTGATAATCTTTCTGTTCCTCACTTTTTACATAAACTTGGTATGAGAACCCCAGGAAATAATAGCTAATTTTTCATCCTTGTTGAAATGTTTCCCTCCTTACTATTTCATTGTTTGAATAAGTCTAAAGCCTTTATTATTCTGAATTTATCATTACCATTTTATTTTTTTAAGTGGTGCTGGAAATTTAACCTAGGGCCATTCCCTTGCCAAGAAAGCACTGTGTCACTGAGCTACATCCCAAGCTTCATCATTTGCCTTTGGCCAAGGTGGAGGCTCTTCTACAGTAGCTTGTTTCATTTGGCTAATGGAAAAGGATCTGTCAAGGTGAGGGTGATTATGGAGGAGTTGATAAGCTGGAAAAGTAGGTGGGCCTGGGCTAGATGGACAGAAGCTTTGTATTTTATTTGAGGAATATGTATTTTACAGTTTGAGAAAAGCTGTAAGTGGATGAGGGACAGAGGAAAGGGGTTGGAGGAAGGGAATGACAAGGTTAGCTTTGCATTTTTGAAAGGCAGAAATAAAATACAAATAGAAGAACTAGTAAAAAAATACAAGTAGAAGGGCAGGAGCAGTATTTTAATTTTAATTTTATTTTATTTTATTTGTGAACATACTGTACAGAGGGGTTACAATTGCATGGGCAGGATAATGCGTACATTTCTTACCAAGC